ATTCACCAAGACCACTGCCCCTGGCAGGTGCTCATGCAAAGAGCACATTTTCTTTTTAAAAGGATTTCTTTTAAAAACTCAAAAGATTTCAGCAACAAGCCGAGAGTTTCCCTGTATGAAGAGTTCAGTCATCACTGCCAACAAAACAACATCCACCCCCAACACGTGTGATGAGCTCCAGTTAAGAGTCAAACTTTAACATTTCTCAAGCACACGGGGGTGTTGGTTCAGAAAGCTCCCAGCAGAGGAGGAAGTAGATAACAAAATACTGCAACTCCTTTCCAGGAAACTCCTTGTTTACAGAGTTCCCCAAAAACAGCAACACCCTCCCCAAGACCTCCTTGCAGCACAGGTTTGCCAGAACTGTCACAGCCTTACTGCCACTGCAAAGACTTTTACCTGCTAATAAAACTGCCTACAGCTTTATGTGAGCTAATAAAGTAATAAAATACTTTTATCATGTCATTTTCTGCTTCGAGCAGGAGATGACACCCAAGCCCTTCTATTCCAGGCACTAACAAAGACTCAGCAATTCCTACTGGACTTGCAGCAGGCTTCCTGCAGAACCTGCCGTCTGAGCCCTCAGCACCGGATTCTGCAGAGCAGCACAGGCTGGTTTTCAGCACAGAATGACACACATTTTCTCAAGTTAAGGCAGGGGGGGTTCCCACATCGTGCACAGGCAGCCCAGGGAAGGCAGGGCCCCCGGGGCAGACTCACCCTCCTGCTGCACCGCGTTGGCCACGGCCTTCTTCACCCGTCCAGACTTCACCACAGCCGGGTCCGAGTTGGCATAATCTGCCACTGTCACTGCAGAGGGTGGGACACACGGGTCAGGGGGATTAGGGATTACTGGGGAGGGCACAGAAGGGCTAAGAGCCACCACGCCTGAAGGGGACGGTCCCCAGAGCAGCAGAGAGATGCACAGGTGAGAAAACGAGTCCCAGCAGTTGCAGGCCAGGGGTCCCCAGCAAGTCTCTACCCCAGGCTCAGGGGACCCACCCCCTGCCCAGACCAGTCCAGGCCCCCCTCTTCCACCACCTCAACCCACACCAAACCCCAGAACCCCGCTAAAACCCAGCCTAACCAGAGCCTGGCTCATCCCCCAGTCCCAGACTCCTCCTTCACAGGCAGAGTCCTCATTCCCGCATACCAGGCCAGATTCCCACCGGGCACACTCCCTCCACAAGCCCAATCACTCCCTTCCCACCGGACACACTCCCTCCACAAACCCAATCACTCCTTTCCCACCGGACACACTCCCTCCACAAATCCAATCACTCCTTTCCCACCGGACACACTCCCTCCACAAATCCAATCTCTCCTTTCCCACTGGACACACTCCCTCCCCAAGACCGAGAGGGCCGGGCTAATCGCTCGGATGACACTGGCCCGACCTCCTGCCCCTCAAACCCCTCAGCCAGGCCAAGCCCAGGCCCTTCAACCACCTCCTCCCTCAGGCCTTAACGCAGGCCCAGGCTCAGGCCCAGGCCAAGGCCCAGGTTCAGGCCCAGGCCCAGGCTCAGGCGCTCCTCTCCGGACAGCACAGGCCGCCTTCCCCCGGTAAGGCCGGGTCGGGCTCGGCTCCCCTCAGTGCCCTCAGCCCCCTCTCCCCTCACACCCGCTCCAGGCCCGGCCCCGCTGCCCCGCCCGGCCCGGCGCCGTCTCCCCTCACCTCTCTCGGAGCACACGTCGTCGGCGCGGAACTTGAGGCGCTTTCGGGCGGCCCTGCGGGGCATGGCGGCGGCGGCGGCGGGGCGGCCGCGCGGGGCCATGTCCGGCCGGGCCCCGCGGGGACAGCGGGACCGCGCCCGCCCCGCGCCCGCCCCGCGTCACCGCCGCGACACCGCGCGCGGGGATGACGTCACGGGGCAGAGACACGGCCCCCCCCAGTGATCCCAGTGATCCCAGTAAAGGGGGGGCGTCGGGGGGGAGCCCCCGGTGAGGAGGAGCGGTGGAGTAACTGCGCCCTCACAGCGCCGAAAGCCCCTGAGGGGTCCCCTCCTTCCCAGTCCTCCCAGTAATGGAGGCCTCTGAGGGGACCCCCCTCCCAGTGCTCCCAGCAACGGGGACCCCTGAGGGGATCCCCCCCAGTAAGGAGGATCCCTGAGAGGTTGTCCCCCCTCCCAGTAACGGGCGTCCCCGCCAGTAAGGAGGAGCTGTGAAGTGACTGTGCCCTCTCAGTACTGAAGGTCCCTGAGGGGATTCTCCCCCTCCCAGTCTTCCCAGTCAGGAGGACCCCTGAGGGAATCCCCCCCAGTACTGAGGGTCTGGGAGGGAACTGCCCCCTCCCAGTAACGAGGGTCCCTGAGGGAATCCCTCCCTCCCAGAACAGTCTTCCCCGTAACAGGGACCCCTGAGGGGATCCCCCCCAGTAAGGAGGAGCTGTGAAGTAACTGTACCCTCCCAGGACTGAAGATCCCTGAGGGGATCCCTCCCTCCCAGTCCTCCCAGTAAATAGGATCTGTGAAGTAACTGCCCCCTTCCCAGTAAGGGGGGCCCTGAGGCGATCCCATCTCCCAGTCCTCCCAGTACTGCAGGTCCCTGAGGGGATTCTCCCCTTCCCAGTAACAAGGGTGTATGAGGGGATTCTGCCCTCCAGTCCTCCCAGTAATGAGAATCTCTGAGGTACTCACACCACCCTCCCAGTCCTCCCAGTAAGAGGGGCTCTAAGGCAATTGCCCTTTCCAGTAACGACTCTCTTGCACCCACAGCCGCCCCTGAGGGCTGTGTGATCCCCCTCCCCAGCTCTGGCCATGCCCTCTGCCACCACCCTGGGTGCCCTGGCTCACCCACCCCCCCAGGAGGAGGATTTGGGTGCCCAACCTTCCCCAAAAGCCAGGGCCAAAATCCAGTGGCCAGGAGGGGACTGACCCCACGTCCTCCACATTGTCCTGCCTGTGCCCTGCTCATCCAGGGATCTGGGCACCACCCAGAGCAGGTTGGGAGTGCTGCCCAGTCCTGGGGGTGTCCAAACTGGGAGGGTGGTGGGGTCCTGATCTCTGCCTTTGGGATTTACACAAGGGCACAAGAGCACGGCCTTGTCCTGCTTGTCCCTGTGGGGACCAGGGACAGCACCCAGGGAATGGCTGGAGCTGTGTCAGGGCAGGCTCAGGTTGGATCTCAGGCAAAGGTTCTTCCCCCAGGGTCTGGTTGGGCACTGCCCAGGCTCCCCAGGGCAGTGGGCACAGCCCCAAGGCTGCCAGAGCTCCAGCAGGGTTTGGATGATCCTCTGGGGCACAGGTGGGACTTTGGGGCCGGGCCTGTGCAGGGCTGAGGGTTGGACTGGATGTCCTTGTGGGTCCCTTCCAGCTCTGCATATCCTGGGATTCTGTGAGTCTGGGATTCTGGGATTCTGTGGTTCCGTGAACACCCCACTGTGCTGTTTCCCACCTGTGCTCCTTCCCTACGAGACCTCAGGAGAGGATTTGGACCACAGGAGATGCTTTCAGGGCTGTGGCATCAGCTCTTGTGCCTCCCTGGAGCGAGGTAACACATGGAATATAGAGAAATCCACATTTCTTCCGCTTCCCAGGCACGGCCAGGAGCTGATGGTGTCTATAACCTCCCTTCCTGGCCACATTTCTTTCTCTCAGCATTTCTTAAATACACAAAGAGCATTTTATCAGTGAGGAACACATTTGATTGAGAAAACTTCTGATCATCCCAGGCAGGAAAGGCCATTCATTGGCAGAAATGCTGTTCCTAATCCATCTGTTCTTAAAGCTCTGGATAAAAATTAAGGGGAATGGCAGTGAATAAACCAGATCCTGGTGGTGGTGGCTGCACCCACCTCTTTGGTACCCAAAAACGTTCTCCTTGGACTATTGCTGCTCACCATCCTTATTTGAGAGCTGCATCACAGGATCAGTTTTAAAAAGTAAGGGTTCTCCTGGCTTGGAAAACTCTGTGGAAAACAGATGAAGTTTTTGGGGATGTGACAAGAGCAAGGTGAAGGCAGTTGTTCCTGAGTGTGGATGGATCCAGCGGGAGCCAAGGTTGGTGGTCCAGCCTCACACCCCCTGAACTCAGGAGGGGGACACATCCTGTCCCCCCACAGCTCACAGGGGGAGGAGGGGGCCGTGGCAGAGTTGGGGGCTTCACTGCCTGGCCCCATCCCTGCTCCCCACCTTCGGGGTCTCCACAGCTGAGGGGGAACGGGGCACCCAGGGCTGGGGACACCCCCCAGCCCAGGTCCTGCCTCCCTCCCCCTGGTGCTGGACAAGCCCCCTGGGGGAATCCCGTTCCCATGGGGGCTCCTAATCCCCAGGGAGGTTCCTGCCCCCAGGGGAGTTCTCTGCCCATCCCAGGGGGATTCCTGCCCTCTCCCCAAGGGGGGAACCTTCCCCCCGCCCCAAGAGTTTCCTGCTTCCACGGTGCAATTCCTGCACACCCCCCTCAGAGTGTTCTGTACCCTCAGCAGGATTCCTTCCCTACCCAGGGGGAAACTTGCCCCCCAGGGAAGTTCCCCCTGAGGGGATTCCTGCTCCTCTTTAGAGTTTTCTGTCCCCCCTCAGGGGGTTCCTTCCCTATCCAGGGTGTATCCTGCCTCCTCGGGAGGGTTCCTGCCCCCCAGGAAAGTTACCTCGGGGGGGATTCCTGCCCCCCCCGAGTTCTCTGTACCCCGAGCAGGATTCCTTCCCTTTCCACGGGGGATCCTGCCCTCAAAGGAGGTTCCTGCCCCCTAGGAAAGTTCCTCCTAGGGAGATTCCTGCCCACCCTTAGGCTTTTCTGCCCCCCCCGAGGGGATTCCCTCCCTTCCCAGGGTGTCTCCTGCCTCCCCAGGGGGGTTCCTTCCCCCCAAGGAGGTTCCTTCCCCAGGAGGGCCCCTGACCCCAAACCCTGCCCTGCCCCTCCCGCACCCCCAGCCCCCCGACCCCCCTCACCTGGGGGGGCGTGTCCAGGTGAAGGGGCGTGTCCCATGGGCGTGGCCACGGGAGGGCGTGTCCCGGTTGGGCGTGTCCGGTGACGCAGTGGGCGGGGCAGGGCGGGGCGGCGGCGGCGGCGGCGGCGGCGGCTTCCAGCGACTTCGGCGGGCGGTGAGTGCGGGCGGGGTCGGCCCTCGCTGCCCGCGGGGGATGCTCGGCCCCGTGCGGGGCCGCCTGGGGGTGCTGGGCCCCCCCCCCCTCCACGCTGGGGCCGAGCGGAGGATGCTCAGCCCCCCCGCTGGGGCCGGACCCGGAGGATTCGATCCTTTCCAGCCTCCTCCTGGGGATGCTCTGCCCCTCCCGAGGGGATGCTGAGCCCCCCCGGTGGGGCTGCAGTCGAGGGGTTTACCCTTATAGCCTCCCGCTGGGGATGCCGTGCTCCCCCCACCCCGAGAGGATGCTCTGCTCCCCGCCAAAGGGATGCTCTGCTTCCCGCGGTGGGGCTGGATTTAGGGGGCTTTACCTTTATTGCCTCCCCCTGGGGACGCTCTGCCCCTCCCGTGGGGATGCTCGGCCCCCGCAGTGGGACTGGAGCCGGGGGGCTTTATCCTTTATTGCCTCCCCCTGGGGATGCTCTGCTCCCCCCGCTGGTGCTGGACTGGGGGGTCTCTGCCCTTTGAGCCTCCCCCCGGGGATGCTCTGCTCCCCCCGCGGGGGTGTTGGACTCGGGCTCTCAACCCTTTTAGCGCCCCGGGGGGTGCTGTGCTCCCCCCCAGGAGCACCCGGTCCCCATTGACCCCCGGGTGGGGCCGGGCCGGGGGTGCTCAGCCCTGCCCTGGCCCCCCCGGGAGGGGCTGGATCCCTCCGAGGGGGCTTCGTGTCCCCCCCGGGGTGGCTGACTCGGGGTGTTCTGAGCTCCCCTGTTTCCCTCGGGTTGGATGTGAGCTGAGGATTGTCATTGGCCCCCTGAGCTGGGTTTGGGGGGACCTGCTCTGCCCTGGCATTACCCCCAGGCTGGGCACCAGAGCCGAGGGGACAGTGACCCCCCAGAGCCAGGCAGGGGGGGTGAAGAGTGGGCACATTCACCCCTCGAGGCTGCATGACTGGGGGGGGGGGCAGTGATTCCTGTAATGAGGAGGGGGCTCCTTGATTTAGAGCTGCTCTCTGCCCCTGGCAGACCCTGCCACACTCTCCCAAGCTGTCCCTTTGCACCCCCCCTCCTTCCCAGCTGCCACCTTACACTGAGGGGAGGGCAGGAATGGGGGTGGGCCTGCTCCTACCCTGGCCTTCTCCCGCTCCTCTGATTTATCCCAGTATCCCCCTCCCCTCAGTGCTGTTCCAGCCCTCCAGCTCCAGGCTGTGTCAGCCCACTGAGCATCTGCCTGGCACTGAGCTCTGGGCTGGGATGCTGCCACACAGATGCTCGTGGAGCTGGGCACCGGGTAAATGCTTGCCAGGCTGGTCTGGTGTGGACATTGGCCACTGAGCCCGGGGCTGGACCAGCTCGGGGAGCATCCAGCCAGCCCGGGCAGCTCCAGCTGTGCCCACATCCTCTGTCAGCTGGGGCCGGCTCATCACAGCCATGGCAAGCTGCCTCCAGACACCACGCTTTCCTCCTGAATAACCAGCCTTTAAGGGCTTGTTTATCCCCTAAATTGCATCATTATAACGGCAATTGGCTTAGGGAGCCGGGTTTTGTTAGAGCTGTGCAAACCCTTCTGGGGACACCCTGGTTTTGGCCGAGTCGGGGTTGGCAAAGTGTTCCTTTTAAGCTCATTTGCCACCATCTGCTGGATGCTGGGATGGGCTTCTCCTGGTGGGTTTGATACCACCAAGCCACTCTGTGAGTGGGAGCTGGTCCAGAGGCGAGGTGGGAGCTGGAGTTTGGGGCCTGGATGTGCCCGTGTGCTTTGGGAGTCTCTCGGTTGTGGTGCTGCCAGGGCTTCAGAGGAGGTGGAAAGTTGGTGTCTTTGTGTCTCTGATGGCCTGGGAGTCTCAGGTACCTGTGTTCTTAGGGACAGCACGAGGTGCTGCTCCCTGTGTGTGCTGCTGGAGAAGCAGGATTGATCCCTGGGGACTTCCCTGGAGGTTTGTCAGGGAGCCACCAGCACAGCTCCCTGCCGCCGTCTCCCTGGCACCCGGCACTGCTCAGGGGCCTTCCCAGCCTTGGTGCTTGTTCCTACTGCACCTCTTTTCCAGGAGACACCCCAGAGGTTGTGCAGGACCTGTGTCACCACTGGAGAGTGGGGGAGCCTCTGAAGTGGCAGGTTCTTGAGACACCAGTGCTGGGACTGACGGCCAGGTCCGGCTTTCTGGAGTGGCCAGAATCAGCTCAGCTGTGGGATCAAACATTTCATCCCTCTCCAGGAAGCTTTGTGGCTTCGTGGGTCTTGCTCTGCACCAAGGGCTCTGCCCAGCCGTGCCTTGGTGCTCCCCAGCAGCTGAGGTGTGGGTGCTGAGGGATTGAACCTGCTGCAGATTTGGGTTCCTGCCTGTCTCACTTGTCTCAGGGGGGTAAAACCCACCCTGAAACCTCCTTCATTTGTGTCTTTTGAGGGGCCTTTGTGCAAGCCTTGTCCTGTCAGGCAGCTCCCCCCGGGGTGCAGGGGGTGAGGCCGGGGGTGAGGGTGGTGGGGTGAGGAGGAGGAGGCTCAGGGTGAGTTGGTGGGGTCGTGGTGGCCGTGAGTCAGTGCTGGGGAAGAGCCTGGCCCCGTGTTGGGGGTGGGAGTTCACTGGAGCTGGGGGAGGCAGCCCTGGAGCCTCAGAGGGGGCTGAACCCAAACACCCCAACTGACCAGAATTCCCTGGTCATCCTGGTGCCACTTTTCTGCAATTTTTTTTTGCATTTTGAAATCACTGAACTTGGTGACATTGTATGAGAACAAAGCTATAGTAGAAAGGAACAGGACGTGGTCTATGGGACAGACTTCATGGTACCTGTGTGCTGTGGGTTATATTTGCTGCTTGTAAGGGGGGAAAATAGCCCTGAGTTAATAACTTGGAGGGCCCCTCTGGGGACAGGGAGTGACTGGCAGTGCCATTTCAGGTTTTCCAGCCAAGCAGAAAGATACTGGATTCTTTATCTAACCTTGAAACCTTAATTTACTATTAATTTCCTCCTAAAGAATGCTTTGGTGAGCCAGAGGTTTCCCAGATGGCTTCCAAAAGTGAGCTGGGAGGTCTCTGGAATATTAACTGGTGGAGGAGGATGTTGGGTCCATTGCCAAGCTTTCCTCCCAGAGGGACAACCCTGCAGTCTGCAGATGGTTTCTGTGGAAAGCCAAGCACTGGGTGTGGGGTGAGGGACTGACTGAGGCTGAGGGCTCTGGCCTGGGCTCTGTGGATGGGCCCAAGCCCTGGCCAGGCTCCCGAGGGACCTGGGGTGAGTTTTTGGTGCTAAAGGCCTCCTCTGTGAGCAGGAGATGCCGAGAGGCTGGAGGTGGGTGCCTGTGTGGGTGTGTTCACATGGGTTGGCATTTGGGAGGGAGGGAGGGAGGGAAAATATCACATGAAACAACTGCAGTGTTGGGGGACAGGTCTGTGCTTGGGCCCATCTGGAGCAGAAGTCGTGGGAAATGATTGAAAGGCTCTTTGCTAAAGAAAGTGGTGCTGATATAATTGGATTTTGCTGCTGTTTGTGCCGTGGTCGAGCAGGTTAAAACCCTTGGGCACACGGGGAAACCCTCTGGCTCATTGGCAGGGTGAGGATGTCCTGAGGAATCTGAGGCTGAGAAAGCTGGGGTAGTTCAGCCTGGGGAAGAGAAGGTGGTGTGGAGACCTCACAGCCCCTTCCAGGGTCTGAAGGGGCCTCCAGGGAAGCTGGGGAGGGGGTCTTCCTCAGGAACTGGAGTGACAGGACAAGGGGGAATGTGTTCACACTGAAAGGGAAGAGATTTAGGTTAGATGTTAGAAAGAAATTGTTTTCTCAGAGGGTGGGGAGGCCCTGGCACAGGGTGCTCAGAGGAGCTGTGGCTGCCCCTGGATCCCTGGAAGTGTCCAAGGCCAGGTTGGACGGGGCTTGGAGCAACCTGGGCTGGTGGGAGGTGTCCCTGCCCATGGCAGGGGGTGGCACTGGATGAGTTTTAAGGTCCCTTTCAACCCAAACCAGTCTGATTCTGTGATTCTGTGCGTGAAGCAGGTGCTCATCTCTCTCATTTCAGTGCAAAGCCCAGCCTGGGGCAGCCCTGCTGCCTCTCAGCCCCCGTGCAGCAATTCCCATCCCACGGGAGGATTTGGGTGCCAAACCTTCCCCAAAATCCAGTGGCCAGGAGGGGACTGACCCCGTGTCCTCTCCTCCTTCCCTGCCTCCTCACCCCGGTGTTTCAGAGCAGCTCGTGGCTGCCTCCAGCTCTGGAACCCTGCAGGACTGACGAGGCTGGAATGGATCTGAAATGCAGATTATTCTTTTTCCCAGCTCGAAGGAGGTGCCGGCTGGGTGGCTGCCTTTAATTGCATCCCCCCCCCCGCCAAAAAAAAAAAAGAAAGAGGAAAACAAGTGGCGGCTGAGAGCTCATCCCCCCTTCCCATCCTCCCATCCGTGCCCGGCGCCTTCCAGGAGAGGGCAGTTCCCGGGGATTTTTGCTGCATGGAGCCGCTCTCCCCCGCAGCCTCCAGCCGTGCCCAGCCCCTCGGGGGTCCCGGAGGCAGAGCCGTGCCAGGGAATGCCAGGGAATGCCAGGGAATGCCAGGGAATGCCAGGGAATGCCAGGGCGCGGGCACAGCTCCTCGGGGGGAGGTGAGATGCTGCCAGGGGGGGCCGAGCGCTTTAAATAGCGAGCCGGGATGTGCGGCAGGGAGGGAGGCTCTGCCTGCCTGGACTCTCCTTCCAGCCTTCCCGAGGGCACAGCATCCCTGGCCAGGGCAGGAGGGCACAGCAGGGCGAGGGACCCCCTCCTGTACCGCTGCCCGGCCACCAGCTGCGTGGGTTTAAAGCTCGTTGCCACCCCTTCCTGGCTGAAATGAATTTTCCCTGTAATTCCGGGTGGGATTCCATCCCTGGCTGGCATCGCTCCCGGGGTGGGTGATGTGCTGCAGCCCTGGCGTGCCCGGGGGATCCAGAGCCCAGAGGTAGGAGCTGGGCTGTGCATGGGATGGCTGGAGTGCAGGGAAAAGGGATGTTCAGCCCCACTGCCAGCCCAGCTCTCACCTTTCCAGCATCTCATTAGTGCAGT